GCTGTAAAAGTCCGGTAGCTTGCAGTCATTTGTGACCTTTCCATATATCGTAGGCCAGAGCCCACTTCTGGGTTTCTGTCTAACTTCTCTCACTCTGCAGTACACGTTCCTACTTGAGCGACATGCTTTAGTGGGCGATCACCAATCGTTATTACAGAACTTACTCGTTCCTATGTGCCTTGCGGGCACTTTCTCGAGCCGAACCAGCAGCCGCACAGCGGCACACGATATAGCCAAAATGGCATTACCGACAAAGACAAGGGAGGCTGGAATGGCCACTTATGGCTTATTAGCAGTCGTCAACCAGTCATACCCAACCCCGAAGCGTGGAACACCCGAGGCTCGAACTCGCGACCTGTTAGTTAGAAGTCCCCGCCTCTACCCACTGGGCCACGAGCTCATTGCCCATGCGACATGTATTAATCGAGCATGATGCGATAAGTGTCCTTTGAAGACGAAAATAGGCCCTCCGGAAGAGGTTTATTTAAGTGCTGACTTTTCAAAGAGCTGGGTCGGCTCTTCATTGTGAAAGCGTAGAATGCACTTAATCGAGCAGAAATTTAATTTAAAGTGGCATGTTGTATTGGCCGCCTCATGTTGATCGATTTTCCCTCCTCTCGCTGCCTCAGCCTCTCGGGAGATGGTTGACGGGCGTTTTGCCTGTGTTCTTTGTGAGTCAGCACTCCGTCGAGGGGAGCTGATTGGACTTTAGTCGGTCGGTGTCCTTGCTTCGATGGCTGTCAACTGAAGACGTAGTTCAGTCCTAATGAAGCGGGGGGGGGTGGGTTTGGAGTCAGGCTGCACAGTCGCCCTCTCCGTGTGGCCTCCACGACATTCTAATAGAGCCGCTCCAACAAGCAGGTCTAGTGGGAACCGGGTCGTGTGTGGCACGCGCCCTCCTCCAGACGTCTCAGCACTGCCTTGCCACCGGCAGTGGGTAGTGCGGCAGATTCTACACAGGCCCGACTCAGTAACTCAGGCGCAGGTCACCGTTGTTGCACCCCGTGAGGTCGCCTTTTGCGGAGGTAGAAGTGCCGGATCCGAGTGGGCGGCCCCTTCGCATGGCTTCGCTTCTGAAGTCCAGTCCGCAGACGTTTGTTTTCCTCCCACATACTGCGGTTTTGCCTAACTTACCTCTACAGCACCTGCTTCTACACGACTGATTCACCTACCTGATCAAGTCTCCTTGCAGTGATTCGACTGGGCCATCTTTCAGTCGATTTTCAGTCTGCCTTGCTCCACGCCACAGCAGCATTTCATGGATATCCTGAATTGTGCTGAGATTATCGATCATATGAAATTTTAAACAGCTTCACGTTATGTCCTGCTCAATTTAGGCGACAGAGCACTAGAGTACATTCCCGTAATCAGGCGGAAGATCTCGCAGTAGGCAAGTTCATTTTAAGGCCCGAGGTTATGGCGCATTAGCGTCGTGTTTTACGACTGCGCAGGAGATAATCTTATCAATGAACTTCACGGTGGGTTTTTCTGGCGACTTCCGCCTAATCAACCAGGTACTCTTCACTCTATATTTAATTGGCATTGTTTTTTCTGGGAATTTTCACGTTTTATAGGCAAGAGCATGGATTGTTTCCACCACAAACGCCAACCCTGTTACGCACGACCACACCAACGCACTAACACACACGAGTGCAGAACATGGAGTACGCAAACGAGGCGATTGACGGAGATTCTATCAGGAGAGGGAGACACAGTCCCCCGTTCTCTCACATACATAAATGCATTTTTTCGCGTTCTATGCAAAGATGTCATTTAATTTCAAATGACAGCAAACGACAACTCTGGGCACGTTCCCATCTAGTCCCAAGAATTGCCTGTAAGCCGTAAAGAATCTATACTCAGAATGTAGGTAGTTGACAAACCGTCATATATGAAATCACACTAATTATTAAACGATGTTTAGAGGCTAACTTCACTGAAACACTATTAATATATGTTATCTTATTTCCATTTTCATATTTACTATGTTTTGGTATGAAAATACATTCTATACATCTAAAAACGAAGTTTACTAAATTACAGCCATTTCTGAAGTTTTCGGGATATTGCGATTTCCTAAAATAAATCGACATTTCTAAATAAATCAACACTACCTTTAATAATTCTTTTATCTATTTAATTTCTTTAAACATGTTCTTAATTAACATAGACATTGGACTCATGAAATGGTGTCGGTTTGCGAGTGATTGGCAATCATTCATAAATTTCAGACACATTTCATGAGTTAGGTCACTAACTGTCATTCTAGAAAACACAAATAACCAGGTTACCTTTAAATTTTAAAGGCCCTTAGGAGTGTATCTCTACGAAGCAAACAAGGCTACGCGACAGCGTGTACATTTATCATCGCGGGCGTAATGTAGGTGAATTGGTTTCGGTTCAGACTCACGCTCTGAGCACCAGATGGAGCCCTCTCTGCGTAGGTGGCAGAGGAGGCGGCTGAGTCAGCCTACCGTATGATACCTCTGCTCTCCATCTACCCCATTAAATTGACCTTAGAACAAACTTGATCACGACAAGTGGTTCTGGCAACTTCTCGAAGAAAATTATTTACCTGCGGAGATAATGGATTTGCTACCCACTAAAAGCTTGATTAACACTTGACAGAGTGCCCTGGCTGTCAGCTATTTAAAACTTGTGGTTTCTAGCTTCTTTTACCGTGTGCATAAACAATGACCGTGCATTGCCTTTGAGTTTTTGTCTAACTTACCTCATTCTACAGTACTCCGGTCAAGTCTCCTTGCGGTGATGAGATTGGGTCATCGTGGTAGCAATCTTCTAAGAGGAAACTCGTTCGAGCTTTAGCCAGTTTTACAAGTTTCGCCTCCTGCTCTCATGGTATTTCATGAACATCTTAAATTCGGCTATGATTAATGAATACGGCGAATTTCCAACACCTCCAAATTATATACTCCTTAACTTGGACGAGGAAGTACCAGTGTAAATCGCTCTAATCCGAGGGAACTTCTTACCGTAAGCAAATCCGTTTCAAGCCTGTTATCTTCCATAGTTGTAGAACGTCTGCACCGTGTTTTACGACCGCGCAGGAAATGGTCTTAGCAGTCATCTCAACAGCGATATTGATTGCGACTGGCGCTTAAACAGTCAGTTGTTGTTCGCATAATTTTAACTGATGTTGTTTTTTTCGGGACCTTACACGTTTTCTAGGCAACGGCATGAAACCCCGGTTAGAAGCGATTTCGCTAGCAGTCACCACACCCACATCAACGCAGAACATGCGTAAATGAATCGCTTCGATAGACGGGCTGTACCGGTAAATAGAGGCACAAATCACATTGACTCACATACAGAAGGGCCTTTTTCAACTTCTGGGAAAAGACTGTTTGACACCATTTCATTTCAAAAGACCGTCATTGAAGAACTCTAGTACGAAGTGCATGACGGTAGTTTTCAGCAGAACGGCAACTCTGGGCGCGTTCCCGCCTAGTCACCAGAATTGCTTGTAAGCCGTAACGTAACATTGGAAATAGTAGAGAGAAGTCCCATTCTCGCCAAAAGGTTTCACCTCCTCCGGAAACAGAAAACCCATGAGATAATATAGAAGCTGTATATTATTTCGCATCTTGGAACCTTTGTCGCATAGAAGAGAGACTGCTATCCAACCCACTAACCCCCCCCCCCTCTACGAGATCTGCAGAAGACGCATCTGTCTCCCACAATAAGGCCCATGGGAAGCCTAACGAAATCGTCGACAGCATTCACTTGCATATTCTCACCAAATCGCGCAGTCACATGGATATGGTTATGTGCAACCCCTCCCCAAAATCAAACTTTGGAGTCCTGCCAGTACGCACTTTCTCGTGGCCTTCACGTCGTGTCCACACTGACGAAGTTGAATAACTAAAGCCTTCCACTGGGACTCATTCCGAAAAGATTTCAGAATTTTGTGAAAATTTGTGGACGGTCTACCACAAAGCGGAACGACCGTATTCAGTTCTGCAGTCGGGATAGATCGGTGCGAAGGTGACTTCTAATACTCCTAATGGCATTCAGGAAAATGTGACCTCGCGGCCCCACTGGCAACGTTGAGATCAACGACCAGCGCGGTCCGGATACAAATCTCCAGGCTCATCTGCCTGAGGCTAGGATGAGGCTGATTGACGAAGCCAGCTGATCCAGAAGGTCTTTGTCAGCACAAGACGTTTGAAGACTTTTTCCCGCCATCGCCCTCCCTCCCCTGCCATCCGATCGTCGTCAACCATCTGACTGGCTTCGACTCCGGGGGCCCAGGCACTCCTCAACCGATCCTATTTATTTCCCAGTCGGACTATTTATATTATGTGATACCGGTAGTGAATATGCATAATCCTTGCTCCTCCCTTCGCCAGTCTGTGCAAAACGCAGATTGTGGAGGACTCTGGCCCTGTCGCCATGCGATAATAGACAGCCAGAGGCGGGTGTTAAAAGAACAAGAGACATTCCCAAGCGTGTTCTTTTTTTTCTACTTCATAGAACCCATTCACCGTCCAGTATTCCGATCCTCCCAGTGAGACGTCTATCAGCTTCCGTCCACTGCCTCCGGCAGCGTGGACCTGCGCACCGCTAACAGACCTTAAAAAAAAGGTGCTGCTAGGTAACATGACGTACATTGTAATGTTCTCAAGAACTACCGAGTTATATCTCACGAGCCCTATGCATTAAAGGCAGCAAGTAAAACCAACCGGTGAATAATATTGAAATTCTGAACATTAAATAAACTGACAACAGAGCGCAACAGTTGAGGAAGCCAGCAAAGCGGGTTCTACAGGTGTGTCGTTTTTCGTCACATTCAAACAAGCAATCCGGGCAAAGAAAAAGGGACTATGTAAACTGTCAAAAGTAAATTTATCTGGTACCTCACGGCAAACACATCTCATGCAAAACGTCACAGGCGCGAGTTCTGTCAAAACTGCAATCTGCCGATCTGGTTGTGTGTGTCTTTCGGTTGCAACAGCTTACCAGTCGTAGGTGGTAGGCCAATGGCTCTAGAATCAATGGCAGAGCGTTTGCCTCGAGACGAAGATTTCAATTTCGAGTCCTCTCAGCCGGTACGTCCCAATATGGCTATGACCTGGGTGGGCATTCTAGACTCCCTCTGTCACCTTCTAGGTTGCATTCTCTTCTTTTCAAGAGAGTAACCACTTCGAAATAAATTTCTGTCTGTTATGTTATCCTTTAAATGCTCAAACGATGCTGCCAGCAAACGCCCCGGTTGCCTGCATACGCAAGAGGGCGTTTGGCGATCTGGTGTCGTCAGTGGATACATTCAGAGACCCAATATGGCGTCGAATTAAATGTAATTGAATAGGGCACGCGAGGTTCAGTTCAGTTCAGTTCAGTTTATTGAGGGAAATAGGCGTAAGCCTTTTGAGTACCCTGTTTGCAACGTAAAAAATGTGTGGTATACAGATAAATGTTCTGGGCTGAAATAGTTCAAACACGCCCATAATTGTAGAACAAAATGAGAACGGGTTACGGGGGGTGAGCTCTACTTCTCATCGCTCTTGGTCATTTTGGAACATAAATATGTCAAGATTCTTTTTAAAACTTTGTATGGATGGTGACATCACAACATCTGCGGGAAGGGCATTCCATGGTTTGACCACTCGAACAGAGAAGGAGAACTTCCGTACATCCAACCTTGCATGCTGAGTGCGCAGTTTTAATGGGTGACCTCGGAGGTTGGTCATGGTAGCAAATTCAAAGAAGTCCTCGAAGGCCAGACTGCAATCCAACCCCTTACCAATGCAGAAGGCTTGCAAGAGATCCCCGCGAAGTTGCCTGTTGGGGTGCTGGCACATTTTGCGGGGATCTGGGACTGAAGTGTGCGAGGTTTCGGCAAAAGCTAAGTACATGCGCGGGGGAAGGAAGTGCTAACTGTTGTTTAACAAATTCAACAGCGTTTCAACGTTCTTTCTTTACTGGCAGACGTATGCATGCCATCGAACGATATTTCGAGTATTTTTGTTTACTACCTGACTGCTTTCCGTGTTGATTATTTCGATGAGCTTTTCTTTTACCAAGGAATTATGTGTGGGGGTACAAAACGATGAACCAGTGCTGTAGGTCAGCGAAAGTCATCCTGCCGATGAAGAGCCGATCAAAAACTCTACCGGCCAGCATTTGTTTTCAAAAATATTGTAAGCGGTTCTACATAGTTCTTCCTTGTCCCGCGCATATACGTAGCTCTTACCGACTTTTCCTACAAGAATAGCATAAATCCCCCCAAAACATACTTTGCAGACAAGATCGTGTAGGCAGGCTGCGCAGTGCTATTCTCACCGAATCAGCGCTAGTTGGTCCACCTCTTAGCGTTGAGCCTGTGTCACATGTTGGCCCGATGTCGAGCTCCGTCCTCTTCAAAAAAATTGTACAAAATGTTCATGCATGTATTCTTTCGGCTTCATGTGCCCTAAGTCTCCTTTTTCGCCTCCAGACAGTTCGATCATTGCCAAGGACGACACCTGGAATAGCCAATATTAGTCACCTGAAACTCCTAAGATGCTCTCGCCACCTTTGGCCCATAGCCGATCTCGCAGATGACGCAGGGATGTGTCCTTCCACGTACATGAAGCTCTCAAGAGTTTCGGACTTCCTCTCAACAACCCACTAGCAGTTCGACCGTAGTTGCCGACGACGTCCACCGTGTGCTCCGCAGCAAGATGGAGCAGGCACGGTGGCCTGCGCGTTAATTAGTTTAAATGAGAGTAGACTTGTGCCGCATCTACCGCACCCACCTCTCCTCCTCACCTGAGCCTCGTGTCAAGACACAGTCAAGAAGACCGGAAGTGGGAGAGGTTCGGGTGGTTGGCACAGCCCGACCCGTACCTAGGTGTACCACCACCATACCTGGTCCACGACAATCACTTGACCAGGATTTTAACCAACGACAGCACAACAACGGGTCACCAAGACGGGGATGATTAGAAAACCGTGCACAGGACCTGTATACCCAGGGGGAGGACAAGCGCATATATTGGCAGGAAAATGGGTGTCTGAGCACACTAGGTTGCGAGGGCCATGGTTTGCTGATCCTAGCATAACGGTCGCTGACAAACCTCTAGGCCTCACAAAAACCCACTAGCAACTTAATGCCCCTACTTCACCGATGCTTTGCAAACACGGCAACCCAAATTCAACTCGAATGAGGGAATGGCGGTGAACTGAGGTAGCAAGCAAAAATCAGCTCAGGACTGGAATTCACCCTAGTAGCATTTTGCGACAACTCGGATCCATTGTTGTTGGGAACAGAGATGGTAAGGTCAGGAGTTCGGACGCCCCTTCTTCTGAATTGTCGACTGCCCTATAATCACTTGATATGCAAGGCATTTCGACCATCCTACCAGCATCCGCTTACTTTTCCGTGGGTCGTAGCTGTCGCAGTGAACGGTCGGGTTGTTGTCTGTGCTGATAAACAATCAACTTAACTTGGGTTTTGTGAGGGCGATTCGGGGGTATGCGGTGGGTGGCTAGGCCCATGGTGGATTTGGAGTAACCAGCTCTGCTTCTCTCTCACTCGTCCGGCGTCCGTCCCAGCGTAACGCCACTGTTCTCGCGTACGTACCCCCCCCCCTTCGCATCAATTTATCTACATTCACTGAGCGCAGAGAAATGCGTGGTTTTCCGTACACGGAAAATATACAGCTTGTAGTTTTGAAACTCTGAATGCAAATGTAACAGCGGGTCGGGTTCAAAATGATTCGGGGATTAGAAAAGTTTTTTAAAACCGAATTATACTCCTTTTTTGAGTATGAAATTGGAAGAAGACGTGATTTTCTACCGAATAAGTAAAAGAATGAATATTTTATGCATGTTTTCACTGAAATATAATTGAATTTTCAAAGGCATCGAAAATCAATGAAAAAATTGCATACTAATGAAGTAGTCATTTTTTGGAGAGTATAGATCTTGCATGCAGCCGAAAATAAGTACTTTCGAAAGCCGACATCCTGAGGTACCTGGATCATTATAGATTTATGCTGCATCATGATTAGTTTTACAACACTACTTAATTTATCTTTTCGAAACGAGAACGCATTTCGAAATTTTGGTTGACATTTCATGAGTTAGCACATCTACTGTATGTTGCAGAGACGGTCCCGTTGCCATGAGTCGTACCATCATCTCGTCGTGCAGCTGACGAATCCTGTGTGCGATTTGTTCGGAACAGCCGAATTTCTGCGTGATTTTGCATTGCCCATTATGATACACCTTATCAAAGGTAATGTAAAGGTTGGTCCGCATTTCCTGGCGTTTTTCTTGCAGTGGTCGGCGAAGACAAAGTCGGTGGTTCCGTGGTGACATCGGAATCCACACTAGTTTTCTCGCGAAAGTCCATGCTCGAGATAGTCGTTGAGACAACTGAGGAGGCTGTGGGCGAAGATCTTCCCGGTGATGTTGAGTAGCGAGATGCTTCTGTGGTTATCACAGAATTGCCGGTTCCTTTTCCGCACTCATCTTTGGAATCCTGATGAAATTTTCCTTGGCGCCGCATCTCCTGGAATAGCGTTGTAAGTCTGTCCATTAGCCGGGGGCCACAGTGCTTGTAAACGTCGGCCGGGATCGCGTCGAATCCCCATACATTCTCGCTAGAGATCTGTTGACGGTTCTGATTCTTTCTGGGAGGGAAGATGAGAGGTTCGGGCGGTCGTTTGTTTCCATTTGAGGGAGTCAGTCGATAACGGCGTCGGAGACTGTAGATGCGCGACTGAGGACATTTCTGAAGTGCTCGATCCAGCGCTACAGAATCTGGGATTTTTCCGTCAGAAATATTGTTCTATGGGACCTGATAAGCAGCGCGGTTTCTTTGGTTGTGGAACCGTGGACAGCCTTGATTGATGCAAAGGGGTTCTCTGTTTCACTGCGGTCAGCATACACCGTGGCCATGTGACTCACCCAGGCGTCCGGAATCACCCAAAGTCGTTGCTACACAAGGCGTGACCAGTGTGGAAGGACGCTTTATTTGAGTTCGTCCGGCGGTCTATGTGCAGTTCTCGCGTAGTCCAGCGGCAGCCGGCGCCGCATCCGGGTCTCTTTCTTTAGCGAGGAGGCAATTTTATGCAAAGGTTCTCAGAAGGAGGCTGTTTTCATCGCAGCCGTCGATGCCATGGGGACCCAGCACTCTCCTCCAGACAGCGGGATTTGTGCCGACGCGAACTTTAAAATCACCAAGGCTAATAAGCGCCAGGAGGGCGTGCAGGCCTTCGGTGAACTTGGGCTTCACCTCGTTGGTGCTGGCCATTGGGAGGCGGGGAATGGGGTAGACACCGATGATGTTTACAAATTTGCCTCACCGAAGAGGCAGGCAAAGTCTCCTCAGACGATCGTTGATGCTCTGCGGCAGGCAGGGCAGTCGTCCGACGATGTCCTTCCGGAGTCGCGTCCTTCTGTCTTTGGGTGGCCGCACCAGAATAAGGTGTAGCCGGCACCCACCCCCTCCAGTTTCCCCTGTTCGGAGAAGCGGATCTCGCTGATAACAGCGATGTCAGATGCCGAGCGACTAGCATTGTCTTCCGTTCCGGTCGGTTGATCTTCGGATTGTCCAAAAGAGGATGAACATTCCAGGCTGCCAGAGTGAGCAGATTCATCCTAGCAGTCTGGATGGCGGGATTGAGGGGAGGCGGGGGATGTTGGTTGTTGTTCGATATGATTTTCGAACGCGAGTTTTGCATCTACGGGCCACGGTGCACTAGCAGATGGCGTGGCTTACCAGCATTTATCTAGGGCTCCTTTTAAGGCTTTTCCCCGCGACGGGATAACAAGCGGTTTTATTAAGTAGGGCTGCTTATACATCCCAGACGGCTGCCAAACTGGAGGGCGACTCCATTTAATCTGGGTTGCCTACGGAGTTGTATGGTACCCTCTACGTAGGAATTTAGAAGTGGATGGTGGGAGGGAGGAAGTTTAAAGATGGGATGGGAAGCAGAGTTACCAGGTGGAAGGGGCAGAGGACACACAGCGCCGGATGCCCTCATCTACCTTAGCCCGCGGGTCGGGGACGGTAACCGGGGTGTGGCCGGAGCGTCACAGAGGGGGGTTGAGCGCCAGTCAAGAACCGTGAGGAGTAGTCACTATTTAAATGGTGCGACCTATGCACGGAGACCCCCCTAACTGGGGAGCTCCACGTCCCTACTCTCAAGTGACACGCAATTTCATGCCCAAATTCCTCCTAGCGGAACCCAGAGCCGGTAGTACACCAGGGGCTATGACCAACGCCGACCTACTGTACGTAGTGCAGTACTCCTACTGGTGTCTTTCACCTTCTTCTACAAAACGGGACTAGTCCATGATTATTGTGAGGATTTGAGTGCGCTGCTTTCTTAGATGTCACAGGTGTTCAGCTTGAAGGTGACGAGACAATATTACCACCTAGCGTGGCGGCACGGTTCACCTCGATCCCGCAACATCCCTTAATTTCACAGTCGTACGATGCCTTGGCTGTCGAAAGCGACGACGCCCACCACATGGACTATGGAGTGGTTGGTACGGCACCAGCGAGTCGCGTGTGAGTTACCTCTTACTGGGGAAGACTTGCGTAGCACCTATCTCACTTCCCCACCCCTCTCGTCTCGATTTCAAGACGATCGGAGGTGGGTGCATGAGCAGTGGCTGACCACCTTTAACAGCCCGCATGCGACTGCCACCCATGACCTTGTCTCCACTCCAGTCATACCAGGCCATTGTCAAGGCAGCTACGATGTCACCTGGCGGAGTTATCATCTTTGTTGGCAAACTCCCAAGGACGACTGACAGCGCGACGTGAAAGATTCAAGTGCATAATACGGCCCCGTATCGGCCTTACTCCCTCTCTCTTCCTTCTCCTATGCACCAGTCAACCGCCCAAGCTAGTCAATCAGCCACAAATGAGATAGGGGGCGGTGCCCGTCTAGGACGTGCACGGTAGCAGTTGTAGGCTCGTGCGGACCCTATGCATCCCGATTAACGCTGGCCGTGAACCAATATGACTCCGTTTTGGTACACTTCATCTGCAAAATGGCCCGTTGTGCGGTAGGGGAGGAGGAGTACTGCGGTCCCAGTCACTTAGGCCCTGCTAGAAGGACTCTACGATGAAGTGAACACGAAGAATAAGATTAAACACTCCAGTGATGGCCCTAAACACAAGCTGAACACACCCATTCGCGTTTGGCCAAGCTGCATGTGAATAAGGCAAAACCATGCCAATAAGATCATCGTCGTTCAGCCTCACTGCTGACTGGGTCTCAACAGCCATCGAACCAAAACCGGGGCTTCGACTAACACTCCTGTCGAACATAAAACCGGAAGTGGTCGGACGTCCAATTAACGAATAAGGACGTGCTAGTTTGCAACAAAAGTGGTCTGTTTGTAGGGAGCATCCCACCCTTACCGTGCTCTAAGCTTCCACAGCGATCACCGCGTTTCAAACGAGCGTGACTGAGGCCGCGTGGAAACGCATTGCGGCCAACTGGACGGCGAGAAAGCATACCGATGTGAAATATCTTCGAGAGTTCTCTACAACTAACAAGTTTTTCAGAAATGCTGGCGAAGTCAACGGGGGAATCGCAAAAACAGGGTCTAGATCGAAGTACTGGCGCTCAGCACTGTGTTAAAAAACTCCCCAAACTAATATACGTCAACTGGTTATTGCGGACGGCTAACACATTGAAAGGACCCACCATTACGGCGACGTTTACTGGTCTGAAGGCGAGTGCGCAAAGTCAGTTGTGTCGAAGCTAGCGAACATATGTATAGATATAATGATGCATAAATATGGGCTTGCTGTTAAGCGAATAGGCGAGCGGCCTTTGGTTGCCGCTCATTCATCCTCTCTACTGGCTAAAACTCCGCTTTCAACCGCGTGTCGGTCCCGAATCAATACATGAGCCAATTTCGCGCCAAATGCAGAAAATGTGACATTCAAACGATTACGCTGCCAACAGGCGTATCGATGTGTCATCAGTCTAAGCTCTTCGAGAGCAAATAAATGACGCAAACAGCGAGGGTTCTGGACTGAGCCCGAAGGCGTAATGTGACAAGCACATCGCGTAATCTGGTCGATGAAAACCATTCTCATCATGAATATCTAGAGGCAATTAACTCTGATGATTCATACATAAATCGGCGCGTCAATCTAGACACCACGTACACAGATCTTGAAGAAAAGTGGGAAAGGTGATAGCCAACCAAAACGTGATATCAACCCACAGCATCGACCCATTCGCAGCGCGCGCGCTTCGAGCTCTAATTGTGCCCTCCTTCCCTTCCTAACCCAGAGGGTGGTCAAGTTAGGTATGTTAACTAACAATGTCTTAACGAGCTAACCATATGATATAAATCAAGTGGGGCTGCAGAACCAAACCTCGCCGTTGGCTGTTTACAAAAGAACGAAGTAGTCTATAAGATAGCGTGCGACACCTGTCATGCAGTTTATTGAGGTCAAACGAGCAAATCTGCCGCTGCGCATTACACGAACGTCAGTTGGCAGTAAAACGATGAGAGAACTTGTCTCGAGTTGCCATGCATACGCTGGAAACTGGACATAAAGTTGCCTGGAACAAGACTCGCGTCATAGGTGTATGTTCGTCCAAGGGAGGCCGAGAACTTTCAGAGGCCATATATTCCGGCAGCTCGTGCATCAAGCGACACATCGAATTAGATGCCGTGAACAAAAATCGAAAGAAAAATAGAAGAAGCGGTAGACAACCAGACGCGATGCCAACCTGCAGTAAAGGCTGACTGGGAGGAGTGACAGAACAATATCGACTTTTAGGTGTTTAAATTTTAATTGTTTTGCATAATTGCTTCACGTCTGAAGACGAATTGGGGAACCGAAGTCAGAGATTTAAAAAATAAATCTTGTTACCTTTCTCAGTGGATTTATTTCTCCGAATTATGCTTCTTGGGATGCCTGTTTTTCAATTTATATACATATATACAGTAGATGTGCTAACTCGTGAAATGTTGACCGAAAATCTGAAATGCGTTTTCGACCCGAAATATTACTTAAGTAGGATTGTAATACTAATAACCGTGAAGCATAATCCCAAGATGATTCAATTGCTTCAGGAAGCCAGCTTTGAACGAACTTCTTTCCAGCCGCCTGCAAAAGGTACACTGTAAAAATGTGGTGTTGATTTTTCTCATTGATTTTTGACGCCCTCATAAATTCAAATATGTTTCAAAGAAAGCATTTATAAAAGTATTCATCCTTTTACTTGTTTGGTAGAAAATTGCGTCATCTAATTTTAAACCTGAAGGAAGGGTATAATTCGGTTTTAAGTTTCTAATTATGAGGGGTTCTAAGACTGTGAAATGCTCATTCATAAAACATCACGTCTTTGCATTTACCAATGCGACTTGTAAAGTTTACAATATGGCTCCAATCCGCTGCTAAATTGTATGAACCCCATATAGTCTTCTCTTAATACCGTGTATAAATGTATGATTCCCCGTACACGGAAAATATACAGCTTGTAGTTTCGAAACCCTCAACGCAAGTGTAACGGCGGGTCGAGTGGGGTCCCCCCACATACCACGTTTGCATGAAAGGACGAACCGTGACCGATTGCACTTTTCACTTACACGTTCAGTTTGTACCACGTTCCCATATAAATGTACAGGCCCGATGGGGATTTATCGAAAGCGCGCGTAAGCTTGCCCAAATGCTCTTAAAACCAAATTATATCCTTCCTTCAAGCATAAAATTAGAAGACGTAATTTTCTACCAAACGAGTAAAAGAATGAATATCTTTATGCATATTTCCTTTGAAATATACTTGCGTTAGTAAGAGCATGGAAAACCAATGAGAAAAACCTACATAATATAAGTAGTCATTTTTATAGTGTATTATTTGCAGGCGGCCGAAAAGAAGTTCGGAGGCCGGCATCCTGAATTGTCATGGAATTATGCGGCGTGCGGGTTAATATTACGACCCTACCTAAGTAAATATTTCGGGTCGAAAACGCATTCCAGATTTTCGGCCAACATTTCACGCGATTTCATTGTTTGCCTCAAACTCTGCAGTTTACAAGACACCATTAATGATCTCAGCTTCTACGGTCGGTACGTAGACGATATTTTCTGCCTGACGGATGTTACCACCGACACAGACGTCCTGATTCAAAAATTCAACAACTCACACCCCTCGCTAACGTTCTCTGCAGTGTTTGAGGCAAACAATGAAATCGCGTTCCTTGACGTTCTTCTGCACAGACAAGAGGATGGGTCTATCCAACGTAGAGTATTCCGAAAGAAAACCTGGACGGGACAATACATTAACTTTCACAGTTTTGTTCCCCTCAACATCAAACGAAATCTAGTCCAGGGATTGGCAGCTAGAGTGCGACGTATCTGCTCTCCTGCGACTGTGGAGGCAGAACTCCAGCAGCTGCGGGATACACTTCACGAAAACGGATATCCAGAAAGATTTATCCTTCGAAATA